TATTAATAATATTAATAAACATGCCCAAAATTAAACATTAATTAACTAAAACCTAGCCTGAAAATCAATAACAGGATATTATATTACATTATTTAAACCATACATTAACTCATAGATAAGTGCATTCTTGTGTCGCAAAGACATTGAATACAGCATTTAATGCAAGAATATTCTGGTCAATACACACACAGTATTGCATTGAAATACATAGTAAAAATATAAAACACTATAACTAGCTAAAATAAACATGTAGTATACATATGCGTGTCTGTTTCCAAATATAACATGCTCAACATTACACATGCTATATTATAAATAGTCCCACATCATCATTACAGTACATACGCTATTTATATATAACAATCAAACTGATACTTCTATGCGAGTTTTGTTGTGCCATGCGTGCTAGGTTGTTTTTTGAATTCAGGTTATCCAAACATCAACACAAATGTATTACATTTAACGCTATATTCAATTGTATGGGAGAGTGAAAAAAATTTGTTATAAAAATATATACACATCCCCAACAAAAACCACTACTTATTGTTTATAAATATGTTAATTATTACTTAAAATATACTTTTTTGAAACAAAACACACTTTGATTTCCCTGTGGTTTACGGCATAAGAAAATGCATTTGTGTTTTGCATTTGAAAATATAACAAAAATATTGCGAGAGGCGGAGAGATATATTGTATGAATGTAATATTATTTTGCACTCTAATTAGCATCATTATACATTAAAATTTAAATAATTCTCGCATTTATAGATTTGTTGTGTTTATAATTAATAATAATAAATAAATAACAACACGTTTAGCACCAACATGTTCATTTACTGTAAGTACAATATTATAATTATTAAAAATAAACATATAATTATTGTGAAAAGCTAATTAATAATTCATTATCCCATAGACATTTGCATATACACTATACTATTGGCCGGGCAGTACACCCAGGGCTGCCAACTGGGCAACTGTCCCACACCCGAGTCAATCACGCCCTGCTTGTGCCGTAAGGACTCCCGCGGCTGTCGACTAATACATTGTGACGGCTATCGAGACATAAATCTCAAACAAGTATTTAAATCAATGTCACGCGAACTGCACGGCAATAATCGGGAGTTACACGTATTTTCCCTGACAAACACCCGGGTAACCGAATTGCCCGAGAACGTATTCGCCAGCATCCAGTTTGACGTGATCAATATAACCAACGCCTACAATTTGCGCCGGATAAATTCAAAAGCGTTTTACTGTACCAACGCTGAGGTATATAATTATTATTTTGTGTAAATATTTTCACTAACATAAGTATAAAGATAACATTTAATAAATCATATAAAAATAAAATGCTATCTTGATAAATCTAGATAATAAAATGTATATTTTACAAAACTTGTAAATAACAGTACTCAGGTACACAACCGTATTTAAATTAAATCAGCTGCATAATTTATAGATCAAATATATTTGAATACATGTACTGTTTATAACTTATTATTTTGTATTACATACAATAACTACTATAAACAAAACTAATCATGTACATTATTTCACATTAAACTAGATACAATCATTTAAACTGGAAAACACGCCGGTCATTGTGGAGCACCCGGACTACGACCTGTTCCAAGCACTGGACAGTATGGAGGGCT